GTGTGTGTGTGTGTGTGTGAGAGAGAGAGAGATCATGAAGACTTGTATTTGGCTTATTCAGTTATATGTTATACCTATCTGTGCAGTACAGTGGAATACTTCTCTTTTCTGATCTTATAGGTTAAGAACCTGTCAGTCATGAATGCATTACATCAAAACTTTAAAATCATTATCATTAAAATAATGTTTAAAGGAGATGCTTGAAATAGCATTACAACACCCTATTTGGCATCTGTAGATTCCATTGCAACAGTTTTAATGCTTGCATCAGAATGTGAAGTTTCCACTGATTGCATTTGTTACCAAAGTCTGTGACTATGTTGGTTCATATTCAGGCAGGGCAAAGTGCACTTGTGTTATATGGTGAAAGTCAGTTCATGATGTTAGGAATCTGGGTGTTTAAAAAGGCATGTTAAATTTGATTTAGATTAGATTTCATAAATGCTTGGTTTTATTACGCATTCAAAACATTTACAATTGTATATTTTTGAAAATATATTATATACGTTAAACTTTTTTTTATCATTTTATACTGTTTTAAAAATATCAATTCCATATCATGTATACTGTAGGCTGATCATTTCCAAAGTGTAATATGTATAGTTGAATAGTTTTGATTAGAAGTAGTGATTCAGTTTCATTTCATTGCACTGATTGGGAAACAAATGTGAACAAAGAGTGTTTAATTCTCGGTGATGATGATACAGTGTTTCATGTTTATTATGGGCTCTATATGTTCTCAGGTGGAAGAGGTGGAAGTTATCCGAGAGTCATTTCTGAGAGTTCACTATCACATGTCTGACATCAGTCCAGATCAGCAATGATTAAGCAACGAGCAGCAACTCGGACATGATTGCCCCATATGTTTTTTTACTTTAAGGGATGTGTGCAAACAAAATGACACAAATAAAAAAGGCCAAAAGCGACTGTTTTTATTGTGGTTCATAGAAAGGGTGGAGTACAAAGCAAAGATGGCATGCAATGAAAGATTGCAAAGCTTTTTATTAACTTAGATGAATTCAATAATAAGATTGTTCTTTCCATGGAATTTCAGGAGGCTTTTAAGATTACCATCTTCTGATGCAATTCCCACTTTGAATTAGTTCCAAAACAATAATAATACGTTTCCCTTGTATGAAATCCACCCACCTTCAAAAATAAACATTTAAATCAGCAGAAAATGCTGAATCATTGCTCTCTGGCAGGATGAACTCGATCAACCTCATGGTTACAATTGGCATGTCTCTCAGGTTATACATGTGCAGACTTGCCCTACCACAAATTACTCAAAACAACCATAAATGGTGCTGCTTTTTGAGCACGTCAAGTACACTTTAAAAAGTAGGCTAACAATGTTAAGGTGTTGCCTCATCTGATGTAATCAGGTTGATTCAGTTGTATTAAATCACATCTGACTTAAATAAAACCAGCACAGAATGACTCAATTATAGATGGTATAGCTTTTTTTATTAATAAAGTATCAAAAACAAACAAGAGACAGTCAAAATGAAGCCATACATATTTCATATAAATATGTAATTGAATTTTACAGGCCATTATCTTCTCAATCATGACTTTTGGTAGCAATTGCACTTGAACACTTTAACATGGACACCAATGACGTGATAAATTCGGATTTAACCACTAACAGAAAGCATGTTTTCATTACACATTTAATGTCAGTAGTACCACATTTTGTGATATGCCTGTTTAAACAAATACAAAAAAAGAGGAAAAAAGCTTCTTGACGCCTGCGTCACTTAACCTTTCAGTACATGACAGAACATACATTTAAACAATGCGACTATGCATAAATTTAAACATGAGGGAGAAGTTTGTGAAAAGATTAGGTGTTTTCCTCAGTTTCATATAAATGGAGCGATTTTTATACTTTAGTACACCTTTCTGTAATATTAGGAAATGCAGTCACAAGCCTGATCAGATGTCTTGCAGTATGCGTTTCTTCACTAACAACAATACGTGACACTAAAATTGCTTGACACATGATCTAGGAACATAACCAGACAGAGCTTTACTTCAAGTTTTTTTCTTTAGGATAAGCCCAGCTAACAAAAAAATGTTCTAAGTAGGTTTTGCTAACATTCCCATTAAGTTATTTCTGAATCTTCTCTGAAAGTTTAAAACGTCCCGTTTTTTTTATTTGATTTATTATTATTATTATTATTATTTTCCTGGGTTATGCGAATGTTAGAGAAAACATTAAGGGGACGCTCCATTTAAACTGTTTGCAAACATTATGGGAACATTACCTTTGAATGTTCTCTGAATGTTATGAAACCAACTAAAACGTTTCAGAAAAAGATATTCCAAGATGGTTTTGAGAACATTATTAAAGACCACATAACTTTGAATGAACATTCTATTAATGTTACTGGAGGTTCGCTCTTAATTTTGACAGAACCTTGTCAGAACGTTAGCCAGTTGGGAGTGTAGAGGTTTGTGCATCATGACAATAACAACACACAGCTACAGTATATGAAAAATGCAATATCAGAAAATAAGTATGTCCTTGCTAATAGCACAAAACACTCCTTTTTTTTTTTTTTTTTTTTTACAGTAGGCTGACAAATGCAGATCTTCCTGCTCACAGCATTGTAACAACAACATAGTCAGACGGTTGAGGTCATAGCGAACAGGCTTTCAGTGATGAAGGGTAGAAACTTCCTTGTAAGTAGTGTGCGGGACACCTCATTGTCTCAAAGTCCACTTCGTGTCGACTTCCCTGTTATTTGATCTGTCTATTTAATGAGTTTCCTGCAATATATATATATATATATAGACCAAGTCCTGAGCGATTAGTAGCAGCTTGAAATAATTCATGTGGCAGGTTATGTGGACACCTAACAAGGCAGAGGCCACAGATAAATATGTAACTAAACTGAACAACTTTGTCACCCTGTATGTCTTGCCAATAAATGAAAAAGATTCTCTCACTAGAATAGTACTTGCTGTCAAACACACCGCCAGGGTTTCATTTAACCAACAAGCTGATAAATAAATGAAATCATGTTGTTCTAGCATCAACATGACATCAGTTTGACCCAGCGGTTGGGTTACTACCCAGAAGGTTGGGTTAAACATTTAACCCAACCGCTGGGTCAAAACAACCCAATTGCTGGGTTTGTCCCTATTTTACCCAGCACTGGGTTGTATTTAACCCAGCATTTTTTAGTGTGTAATTTATGGAGAAAATATTATATTTAACAAGGCAATAAATATACTGCTTAAATATGTTAAAATTACAGAAAGTAAACCCCCTTATGATTTAGTGAGTAAGGGGTATTCCCAATCTTATTTTGTTTAGTTCTTTAGATCTTATAGTATCATTTTAATGTTGTGTATTGTAATCCTTATGGTGTTTTATGTTTATAAAACTATATCTTTATATTATTATTTATAAACAGTTGCTAGAAAGTTGATTTTTTTTATAAGATTAAAGTTTAAAGTCATTTGGCCTTCAATTGTAGGCTACCACATGTGTTATTCTCAGTACATTTTACAGTGATTTTACATTGCAGACTTTAATAGCTCAAATAAGTTAGTATATTAAAATAATACAATGTAATGGCAAGTACAATGTGCTATTCCGTAATGTTTTTAACATCACAATATGTTATTTTAGGGTATTTTTTAAGGTTCTGACAACAGTTGTATAAATTACGTATAACTGATATAGGCTAGAATATATCACACACATATTTATTTAAATATTCAATTACTATACTCGAATTATCTGTAAAATATATGTTCTAATTATATGCACTGCAGGTCTACAATCATAATCAGTATAGCCGGTAAAATCATCATCTTTAACTGTTTAATAAACTCTAATCCGGTTACACTGAAATCTCTATGTGAGTGGTTAAAATAAGCTGTTATTACTTTAAATATTTTTACAGTCGGCTATAACGATTCGCCAACAGAACTTCATAAAATAATCAGTTATTCAAATATTTCAACACGAGTTACCGCAGCCCAGTTCCGCACGTTTTGCAACTATTCTAGAGGACTAAGATTATTATGAGATAACAATTAAATACAATAAAAGTACACTATGACTATAAAATGAACTATAATAAGTAGCCTAGCCTACAAGCGTTTGACCCCAAAACACAATTGTATTGAAATCAGTCACTGGCTGAGTTTATTTATCAGAACATAGCGTAGACATTTTCCACAGTGTGTTCTAGAACAGTTACAACAAAACCCATACATAACACGTGAAACAATGTTGTCACTCACCTTATTTTGACTGAATAAAACGCGTGTTGTGATGCTCTCCTCCGACTGGAGTGTTCTCGCGTTCAGCTGCTAAAGTTACAGTTGTCGCCGGCTCGTTGCATCACTCCTTTTTATAATGGCTGGAGGACGCGAACTACTACTGGGGCGGGGCGAGTGACCTCACCCTATTTATAGTATCAGGAAAGCTGTTTTTGAGATGATGCAACCAGGCAACCCTCCGTGCGCACCATAACTGGGCAAGCTCAGCCCCCCGCCCTCCCCGTACAATGGAGGAATCGAAGGCTGACATGTTAACCTAATGAGCAAATAAAGACATACCCGTGTAATGACATGGGATCTCTGGAATGCTCTAAGTGTAATGTATTGAATAGTTATGAAAAAAAAAAAAAAAGATATGGGAGAGGAGAGATTGACTGGCTAGTTGGTCAGAATGAGACCAGAAAATCACTCGCACTCTGTTAAACACACTCATATTTTGTCTGTTGGAGAATTGTATGAAGATGGAGAGATGCTCCCAAGGTCAGTGTGTTGCTGTCTTTTATTCAGTCTGTTTAGTCTTTTAAAGTCCATGACCATGAGTGAGCAAGTGTAATCAAATGTGATCAGTTGGTTTTGCAAGTCCACTAAAAATGTTTTCACCATTTAACAGCTTAATGACCAGTCCGAGGTTTTCAATTTTAGTAGAAATTTTACAGGGTTTCATTTAACCAACAAGCTGATAAATAAATGAAATCATGTTGTTCTAGCATCAACATGACATCAGGCTTTGGTGCATATAAACAGCATATCATGTTAAACATACATACAATTACGAACACATTTAAATAAGTCCTTCAACACTTTAGTGCTTTAACAGTCTCTTTCAGTGTACATCAGATCGACCTTAACTGGCAGCATGGCAGGCGCCCGTGTTTAGTCCTTTATAACGTGGGTGAACCTTCCAGCGTTCCTTGGCAAGGACTGCCAAACCATTAGCTTCTTGCCTATACAGCTTGTGATTTAGAGATGCCCACAGCTAGTTGGTATTGAGGTGTGTGTTGGTCCACTTGTGGTAAGATTCAGACCCTGCAGGGTGGTCTCTTTGATTTGCTGGATGAAGAGCTTCCTCTCGTCTTCAGGAGTCTGGCCGTTCTGAGCACGGACAATACAGGTGGGCCTATGCAGGTTGAGCATATAAACTAGCTGGTGCTTTTGGTTCTTCAACTCCTCAATCTGGGCTTTCAACTCCGCATTGACGGACTCCAACTTCTCTGACTCCTGAATGAAAATAAAAGCCATTCATAGAACATATATGAGTGAACAATTCAAGAAGTAATATTTTAGAAATATGAAAAAAATATTGTAAATAAAATCATATTTTAAAAATAAAATCATAATAATATTAAATATATATTCTAAATATAAATAACATAAAAATAATAATAATACAAAAATAAAAATATACAAATAAAATGTTTTAAATTAAACTTAAATATAATAAAGAGAAAATAACATAAAGAATACCTTTTGTAAATGGTCTGTTGTCTCCTTTTTCTTGTTTCTGCATTTCGCTGCTGCAATTTTGTTTCTTTCTCTCCTTCTTTTTCTCCTTTCATTCTCCACTGGATTGGTCTGAAATGACAATATTTATCACATATGTTCAAATATACCTACATAGTGTAATACATATTGATTTTATGAAAGCGAAACGGCCTAATGATTCTGAATTAGCTCCACAAGTGGATGAACAAGTGAATTGTGCAAGCATGGCTTTTCTACATGCGTGTTACTCAATATAACTAATGTGAAATACAAGAAATCACATTTGATTCAATGTTCTAACTGTAAACTAGTCGTTCTTACCTCACGCTTCATCACAGGTAGTTCAGTGGGGCGTTCTGTGTTCATACACGCTCGGTCAGTGGTCAGGGTGCTCATGCCGTTGGACAGGCGTTTGTTCTGAATGGCGTAGCGCAGCTCCTCTTTCACTAATGGAGTGAAGTTGGTGTGAGCAAGTGTAATCAAATGTGATCAGTTGGTTTTGCAAGTCCACTAAAAATGTTTTCACCATTTAACAGCTTAATGACCAGTCCGAGGTTTTCAATTTTAGTAGAAATTTTACAGTGTGCTCAACTTTGAAAATATAATTTAAGGTTGTAAATATTATTATAGTATATTGCTGCATGCAAGCTTATACATGATTTTATTCTATTCTATTTGTATTATTCTGAACCTTTTGTGATATCAGTTTATCGGTGGGGTAAAATCTGTGGTAGATGAATGTGAGTAGACAACATCAACAAATCATTTGTCATATAAATCTATTTAATAATCAGATAAAGAAAAAAGGCGGTAAAGCAAATGTTAGAGCTCATAGTTTTGGGCTGTTTACTTTGATTTGTGGTGGATGGGTGTTCAGTGGAATGATTTTTCAGCTCTCTTGCTCTAGTTGGGTCATTATCCACCCCGGTACATGCTCTTACCTCTGTGTTCTGGAAATTTCCAGTGATCTCGCTTCACCAGTCCTGGTGCAATCACTACTAAAACACTCCCTTATTATACATACAATTGTGCTTGTACACAAAATAGTGTTACTAAGGAGCCATGTCTAAACCTGACACAAAGGTAATATTTATTTTTCCCAAGAGAAATGATGATTGTCGGGCTTAAAAACTAAGTTCTTAGAATTAATGAATCTGGGTAATGATTAAGTTCCATTTGACTCATAGCTATAACTATTTTAAAGTGAATTTGCTGTTGTTGTTGTTTTGATATCGACTGATATATGGAAATAACAGCTAGTGTATGTTTTTACATAAGATAATTATATTTGGGGGTTTTAAATAGCATTTCACGTGGTTTCTGATTTTTCCCATTGTGTTTTTTTTTTACTTATTTGCTTTTTGCAAAAATTTAAAGACATACATTTTTAAAATTGTATTATAAAGTGTATTTTTTGCTTTTTGCTTTTCTTGTTTTGACATCTGCCGATAGATGAAGATTTATGAAAATGAAGAGACAGTGGCCCCAAAAAGACTTCCAATCACTAATGGAGTGAAGTTGGTGAAGTCGTCCAGCGTGAGTGAGCCGGGCGGGGAGAGGCAGGGGACCAAAGCAGTCGCACTGATCTCCGAGGGACCCAAACCAGGATGCTGAAGCATCATTCCGAAATCTAAAAAATTTGAAGCAAGATTTAAATCATGGTCTTAATAAGGAAACTTTCTGTAGTCGGATACAAACTCTACCACCTTCTCAAAAAATTATTAGACTACTGACTTAACTGTAAAAAGTTAGTAATGTAATAAGAATGTAAAAATGCTACAGTAAAAACCTATTTTAAATCTGAAAAATTATATTATGTCAATACATGTATTTTAACAGTAAATGTAAATACGTATTTCAGAAATAAAAAGTATGAATGTATAATTGCATTAAATATATGCATATATTTATGATTTATTATAAACAGTTTTTAAATGCACAAATATTTTTTAAGCTAGTATTTTTTTTCTTAGTAGTTTGGTAGGTTTTAAAATTGTGTCTGTGTCTCTGTGTGTGTGGTTATGATTCAGTATTACTGTTTTTTTTTTTGTATGTACTTTTATTTATTTTTAATTATTTTATTTATCTTTATTAGTATTTTTTCCCTCCTCGCTCTAGTTCGAGGTAGTTCTTGCAATTTGTTTCTGTTTGGTAATAAGGAAAAATCAGTTTAAAAATTCTGAAACAATAAATGTATTGTTCAACATTAAGGCAAATGAAGTTGTATTTATGGTTGTCCATCATTAAGGAAAAATGTCCATAGTTAATGTGATGAACTACACCTGTGGTTATTCTGCTGGACAGCTGTGTGAACTTGATGGGAACTGACTTCAGACATTTTGACACCAGTTGGTTAAAAGTCATAAAAATGACTTCGAAAAGGGAAGTTAGTTCTGTGAAAAGGTCTCATATATTATTTGTTGGCAGATGGAACTTGACTTGATTTTATGTTGCCGAATGCAATGAAATACATTCATTTTTATATGCTGCTTAATTCTTTTTGTGTGCTTGATATATATGTTTACAAATGACAGACATAATATTATGAAATGTGTTAATTAAAGTTATACATACATCAAAATCACAAAGACAACTGGTGCTGTTGAAACTTAAATGGTGCTTGAGATTTTTGCCATTTTTATAAAGCAAATGTGTCCATAAATACATTAAATACTGTAAAGATTTACATGCTAAGCTAGATACTAAGATATATTTATAAAAAAAATTCTAATGAGACATAATATTCAGTTTATGATTAAGCTAAAAATGTATTCCAGACATGTGTGAACCCATCTGAATGATCTATATCTAAAACGTTACACAGAGCTTAATATAGCGGTATTCACCATCTTATCATCTCTTTATCATATCTGGCAGGGCAACATCACGTCATAGAGTTCAGCTTGTGCTCCATCGTATAAAGTCAAACAGGTGTTTAAAGGCCTGTGGCCATTTTGTGTCTAGGACATGGATACAGCTGTTATGATGTCAATATTGACCTATTAGCTATTAATACACAGTGAAGATTCAGGAGAAGTGATTTCACTTTTCCATCTGTTATGTGTTGATTGTTGTCTATCAACAAAAATGTAAAAGGTTTGAGTAAAAGAAAAGGTGAACAAGAAACGTCCTTATAGTATTCAGTGTAATATATGATCCTTTCCATTCAGTTTCTTTATGATGTGAAGAAAACTTTACAGCCATATTTTTAAATGTCTTTCAGTTTTGTTATTATGACATCGCCACTCAAAAGATCTATATCTTTATTGTTGATCTGAGTCTAATAAGATTTTTGATAAGAACACAGTCACGATTTTAAGGGAGGTAATTTCCTATGTATGTATTTATTTTTAAAATTATGAATAAAATATAAAAATAGGAATCAACATTAAATCACAGTAGAATCACTTGATGTACTAGATTTTACATATAATGTTATGTTCATAATAATGTTGCATGTTTCTTTCATTTGGCTTCATTTTCATTTTGAAAAACACTTGTATTATGTACAAAGTGTTTATCTTTCACTTTTGTTTTTACCACACATCCATTATTTAAGAACCCAGCATTCACTATTTCATAACCAGCATCATCATCATTATAATTAAATATAAAATATGTCCTATATATCTATTCTCTCTGTATTCATGTATTTTCTGAAGCACTTTCTAAAAAAATTAATAATAATAATAATAATAATAATAAAGCAAAGAAAGAAAGAAAGAAAGAAAGAAAAGAATGACATTTGTATTCTTCTTCCATTTCTTGTTTTATTTTATTTCCAATTCCATTCAACTGTATGTGGGCATTATGAAAAACCAAGGCTTGTGGTTTTACTAACGCCAAGTTCAAAGAAGAATATGGTTTCTATAGTTGCAACCAGATTATTTTAATATTAAAAATTTTTTTAATTTCCCTTTATTGTATTTTTTTTTTACTCCAGAAGATGTGGCCTTTGTGTCACACAGACACAGGTTAAACAGCGCACAAAGCACTTTCTTAAGAAGCACAGACTGCGCATTGTTTCTTTAAGACAAGCACACGAGTATTCTCGCCAGGGGGGAACACGTCATCTTCCGGGAAATTGAGACTATACGGTAATCCTGAGACTTTCCCTTGTTTTCTAGGCTTGGAGGTGAGACGTCAAATCACCCTTTTCCCAAAACATCACGCGTTTGAAACGAAACGTATATTGCTGGAATAATGAAAGGTCAGGATCGATATTTTGATTTGCACTTTCGGTCTGACACATCGCATTCCAGTCAAACGTTAGTCATCGAAAACGCCTGATGATTTCTCTGTAGATGTCATTAAATCTAAAAAAATCTAATGATACAGTACAGTATCTGTTAGTATACCATGTAGCACACTAGGAACACAGTCAATACCTTTACAATTTTTTATATTATCATAATTTTATTTTAATATTATTTTATTATTAAAATAATCATTTTATTATTATTTTAATTTAGGTTTTACAATGATAACAATGACTGAATTAACTATAGTATTTTGGTGAAACAATGGATAGCATGGTCAGTTTTGTTGTATATAGTAAAATATTTAGTTCGCTATATTTTTTACGTAAATATGCCCCACCCTTTTATACCCATCAACCGACTGCAGTGAGAATAATATAATACCAAAAATATCTCGTTCATTATTTCAGCAGAATATTATTACTCTGCCAGCTGTGACTGCTTATTGGAATAATGCAGTGGGTAACATCTGCTGGAAAAAAGTGTGGATGCTTCCTCATACTTATTTACTAACTAACAAAGTAAAGGAGATTTCCTACAAAATAATTCATAAGTTCTATCCTGCAAAGCATTACATGAAAAAATTCAAAAGTGATATTTCCTCCAGTTGCTCTTTTTGTGATGACTCTGTCGAAACTGTTGTTCATCTCTTTTGGAATTGTCCATTTACAAAGACATTTTGGCAAGATGTTTTAAGTTTCATTAGGAGTAACATTTATAATGAATGTATTCTGTTTTGGAAGGACGTAGTATTGGGTTTTATTGAGTATGAACAATCTAAAAGGAATCTTATGTAGTGAATCTGATTTTGTTTCTTGCTAAATTTCACATCCACAAATGCAAATATTCAAACTCTAGACCTCTCTTCTTTGTTTTTATAAAAGATTTTGAGCAATACCTTTCATTAATCCAGTTGTCTAAGAACAAAAAAAGCCTTAAAAACTTTATCTATCTGAAATATATATATATATATATATATATATATATAAACATTATCATGTGAATCTATATCGAAAGTAGCCTATCTAAATAATTTTCTAAACCATTTTGAAACCATCTTAATCATTTTGAAACTAAAATTAAATAATTTGTTTGCATTTATTTTGTTATAATGTGGCATGATGTAGCGATAAACATCAAACTCTGGTTTATTATTTGTTAATTCCTAAACTAATTACAAACGTTTACGCATAAAAGTAAAAGTAGTATTTATGGTATTTGTCAAGACCCAAAAATGGGTCACGGGTCTGATGTAGAAAAATGACTTATACTAATATAGCTAATATCTGGCCCAGTGTTTGTTCTGTCACACTTTTGCTGTTGTTTAAGTATTTACTAAGTATTAGTTAATATTTTATAATCTTAGTTATCATTTGCATATTGTTTGGGCTATATGTAGTTCATTAAAAAAAATGTCTGATTTTGAGATGTTTTGTTAACTTTTATATGATAAACCATTTTTATAATATGTTGGGTCGTCACATGGTGTCCAATGTAAAATCTGGGTCTTGAAGCAAAACAAGTCATTCCAGATGGTTTCAGGGCTTCCAACTCATAGACCTCAAAGTGACTAAATATTTGCCCATATTTCAAGTCTGGCGACATGTGGTTTATTCTTTTGTATTTCTATATTTAGGAAGAGTTTTGTGTGGGCTGAGATTAATATTTTCCAACCAGCCTTGTCAGTGGATACGGAACGTACGCAAGCTTCTTCATCTTGTGTATAACAATATGATATAATATTGTATTATATTATAGAATATGATAATATATGTAATTTTTGATTGTTTTTTTTAAAATTAATTGCTAATGGTAATACTAAAAGGTACATTGTCTTAAATGACTCAGAAGCAATGGGGCCCAAATATCTGTAGCATCACTTGCTCAGTATAAATGTTGACACTGCTTTCTCTAAATAATAGTTTATAGCTTTCCTCTTACATATGTGACATAGACAGCTGTAGGGCTCATAGTTATTTATAAAGTCCCAGTTAACTCAGTGCTACCTTCACACTGCCCTCACCCTGGTACACACACCACAGCACTGTGTACGTGTTTACACCGGCTGCGCCCATAGTGACGGACTCCCGCCCAAAAGACTTTCGGCGCAAACAGTCAAAGTAGGGAAAGCCAGGATTCCCAACCCCGTCACGGGCCGTGACCTCATTTCTTTCTCCAGCAGGCCTCCTGTGTTTTGTTATTTCGGTCCTATGTGCAAACAGCATGTAGGGTGGGAGCAAATACCTAAAGCTCATTCCCCACAAAAGCATAAATGCCTTACGTAATTCATAAGGAAACCAAATTGTATCACGCTTGGAACGTAATACATGTAATGAAACACATTTAGCGAGGACTTCCTCTTTTTGGAGGCACTAATTTTGCTGTCTTCAGTTTTTGGATTCCATTTAGAATGAAACTTCTTTTTATGGTAAAGTAAACTACACTACTCTACTGTCTGCTTCCTGCAGATGTGAAAGTATATTGCAGCTTGTTCTGTGACTAAGGAAGTTTTCATGATTTTTTTTCTCATTTCGCATCCAGTGAGCATCCGAGCAGTACCTCAGGCGAACCTCATTTTCCTCATTCATTTCCCATTCCTCACTTCTTCAATTTGCTGTAAATTCGAAGAACTGGATTAAGTTGGACATTTGACTTCTTACTGGCATGTAGAACGTAACATGCCCTAATTTCTGGTATTTTATTTCAAGCAGGGAATTGAAGCAGCACAGGCCTCTTATAAAAACCACTGCACTTAGTCTTTAAGAGTCACTACTCTACTGTCTGCTTCCTGCAGATGTGAAAGTATATTGCAGCTTGTTCTGTGACTAAGGAAGTGTTCATGATTTTTTTTCTCATTTCGCATCCAGTGAGCATCCGAGCAGTACCTCAGGCAAACCTCATTTTCCTCATTCATTTCCCATTCCTCACTTCTTCAATTTGCTGTAAATTCGAAGAACTGGATTAAGTTGGACATTTGACTTCTTACTGGCATGTAGAACGTAACATGCCCTAATTTCTGGTATTTTATTTCAAGCAGGGAATTGAAGCAGCACAGGCCTCTTATAAAAACCACTGCACTTAGTCTTTAAGAGTCACGCCATATTTAAGAAGTCGCGTGACTGCCTGTAAAGGATCTAGCTCTGAATGATATAAAACTGATATGGTGAGCACAGAGATGCACGAGGGGCTTCAGCCAATCAGCTTGCTAAAGTGAGATGACATCATCTGACTGCTCTGTGGTGTGACTACAGTAGGCATCATTGCAGCATAGGATTAATAGTTAATGATAATCCCTTGAGATCAGCCAATCAGAGTGCAGGAGAAGGACATGGTCAGGGCATGTCCACAACCACCAACAATGCAGTGCAGGACTGAAGCCAAATTCCCGTGCTTGGCCTTACCTGTGATAATAGTCTCTTTATATCTGAATCAAGGTTAGTGTATATACACATTTACTTTTACAAGAGATTCAGCACAGGTAAAATTGTGTAAAGGATGAAGATTTCTAACCAAATAGTGATATTTGTTTCTAAAAATGCTTATTCATAAATTTCAGCGCACAATACAATTCTATATACTGTACACTATTTTTCAACACATGTATTGTTTTCAAGCCTGCTTATACAGTAGAATATTGGTAGAATATTAACTTGCATGAGCTCATGTGACCATGAGTTCATTGTGTGCAATCTGACATCATGATGAGTCAGAGAGTAACAGGACTCTGGAAATGCAGGTAAAGGCAGATGAGTCATAGAACAGCAGCAAAACAAAAACGCCCTCTCCCAGCTCTTCCTGGTTATTATCTAAAAGATTCTCATCACGTATACATTTTTTTTTTTTTTTGTAATGTCACATAAGCTATGTTATTATTATGTCAAAGAAGACTTGTCATCTTATAAACCCAGGGGTTTTCAAACTAGGGTCCGGGAATACCCAGGGGGGTCTGTGGAAATATTTAGAGACAAAAAGTTTTAAATATTTTAAAAATAAATTCATTATAAAATAAGAATGAAATAAAAAAAAATTAGAATAGAATAATAAACAAAAAAAACAAACAAAAAAAGAGTTTAAAATAAAATAAATGAGTAAATAAATAAATAATGCATCTAACAGTACAGTGCTATCATGAATATAAAGAATATAATTTATGTAATAGAAATTAAATATTTTCAAATAATAATTTTCAATTGTAGGATGGGGTCCTTTGCATGAGGTTGATCATATTTAGGGGGTTGTGGCATCTAAAAGATTAAAAACCCTGTTATAAACCTGTTAAATAAGTCATGTTTTTGTTGTTGTTGTCATTAACAGTATACACTTTGCATTCTAAATTGCACTTTCTACGTTCATAGCATTATTATTTAAAGGTGGAGTGTGTTATTTCTGCACCACACCAACAGATTTCAAACCCTCACCCCATTCTTAAATATTTGGTTATATTCTTTGTCTGGCACTGTTATAAAAGCATAAAAGTTATACATTAAAAAACTACAAATGTTTGAGTATTTTGTACATATGACAAGAATAATAAGTTATAGCCTTTTAGAGAGCACTTTAAAATCCAGAAATTAACAATAAATTGCTCAGTCCTGCACTAGGCTATCATAAGCAAACAGAGATAATGTTATTCAGTCTTTACAATGATTACAAGAAGATGCTTCCCTTATATTCCTGTACTTGATGTAAACAGTTTCAGTAAAAAGGTCACGGGACAGAAGCAAAGACCCGTGTCATGTGATGAAGGGGAATTTCCTGTTTGCTGATACACAACATAGAGCATGCTGAGCACGGAGCGAGTCATGTGACTGGAGGTGCTTCATGTGGCATTTGCAATATGGAAAACACCCTCATAGTTATTCAGCATATTCAGGCGGCTTATGCAACAATGAGCCCATTCTTGCTGTTTCCTCATATATAGCTCATCCCTTGTCAAAAAAAACTGTCCTAAGCATGACCCAGTGCAGTTTTAGCTGTCTAGCCTATTATTATTGGCAGTCTGACGTCCTGTTTTTTTTATAAACTTTGAATCACTAAATTTCTGATCTCCTTTTCCTGTACACTTGGCTGGTGTGTAGGTATCGGCTGTGGTATTAGCCACAAACTGACCCACATAGCTGCCCGAATGATGTCTCAAATTGATGTTATTTACTTGTTTTCTCCATAGGCTTGTGCTTAGCACTGTGTCTGGTACAAGACTTGCTGACCTCAGAACCTGACTGTACATCCCGCAGATGCTTTCTTATCCAAAGCAATTTACTGTACACTTACTATAGTGACAGTCAACTCTGCATTAAAAGGGATAGTGAAAATGAAACTCTGTAATCATTAATCATACATGTTTGGAACGACATAAGGGTGAGTAAATGATGACAGAATTTTCATTTTTGGGTGAACTATTTCTTTATCAGCTCAGATTCTACCATATCCCTAAAATCTAGATGACTGTAAAGGTCTTAATTTGGCTGAATTTTGCTTTATTAGATAAAAATGTCAAATATTATTAATTAATTATTTAATTTATTTATTTAGTCTTAAATTACAAATGGAACAAAATGCACACAGTATTATTACTGATCAGAATTTTCGGGTCAGTACGTTTTTTTAATTAAATAATATTTTTATTCAAAAATTATGCATTAAATTGATTAAAGGTGACAGTAAAATACTTTTAAATTTTTTATTAGTATATTTGTTAGAATTTCTATTTCAAATAGATGTTCTTTTGTTCCTTATGTTCTTTTGTTTTGTTTTTTTTTCATGAAAGAATCCTGAAAAAAAAATATATATCGCTGTTTCCACAAAAATAGTACCTAGCACAACTGTTTTCAACATTGATAATAATAACATAATTAATGTATTTTTTGAGCACCAGATCAGAATGATCTTAGAGATTAGAATGATTTCTGAAGGATCATGTGGCGCTGAAGACTGGAGTAATGCCTGCTGAAAATTCACACGAATACATATTAAAATATATTCAAATAGAAAACTTAAATTGTAATAATATTTCACAATATTACTGTATTTACTGTTTTGTTTTAATCAAATAAATCCTTGGCGTAAAAAATAAATGAAGACATTCATTATTTTGTGGTCATAACATTCTTAAAATTATACAAATATAATCACGAACTAAACTGACAAATCAAAAGATTATGCAATGTCATGATGTGAACAAATAGCTATTTGTTCTTAATGTATTCATTCATTTCTTTCCGGTACATTACGTAAAGGGTGGCATATAGTCTTATCCACAACAGAGACAAAAGTTTTTTTAGGGTAAAAGGAAGTATTGCGTCAATAGGGTTGTGTTTTGTGCAATAGCATTCGTCATATGCTTCCCACATGTTTAGGCATCTATTCTGTCAGATATTACTTAATTTCTTCCTGATTTTATTTCTGTAGAAAGTTTATTGTTTGAACTTGATGTAACCTACACAACTTTTCCACGACATTCTAATTGATTGAGATGCACCTGTAGTTGTTTAGTTGCTATGAGCTCGATTATAGATATGTGCTGCCCTCTAGTGGAACCTGGGAGAGTTTTATTACAAGGAAGAGGAGCTCAAAATAATTGTCCTCGATATTTTTTACTGTAAGAAAGCAGCCTGTTGGTTCAATAATGCTTAAATTTTCAAAGCCAAAAAAGAGTTTTCTAGTCAAAATAATGCATCATTTTAATTATAACATTATTTATTAACATTCATGGGTCATTTTACAAAAGGAGTAGCATACTACAACCTGTACAGTTTGCAAAACAAAAACAACAGTCCAACAATTCTCGTTAGTAAATACAACTGAAAATACTCCCAATATGCATTATTTATAGCAGTAAAAGTGCAATCATCATGCATTGTTACTGTTGCAGAGGTGAGCATGACTGTGTTTTGGTCCTGGAGAGCGTCCAGCAGCTGCAACATCAGATTCAGAGATATCATATACAAAATGTCCACAATTCACCCTTTGAAGCCTACCCTGCAAATGTGAATGCATGGAAAATCATTATGTATGTATTATCTTTTATGCTAGCCATGGCGTGACAAGTTATCTAATGAAAATGTTATGCTACAGGGATTAAAAAAATCAATAGAATGTACTACAGTTTATTATAGCATGTAAAAACCTTGGCATGCCTGGCTGGGACAAGGTTAGGGGGTCACAACATACAAACAGGACAGCTAGCAGGTCAGGAGAAACTAGCCCATACGGAATGCCTGCTAACAACAGAGGATCTAAACTCCATTACACACTCGTCTCTCAGAACAGCCGCGAGTTCGTTTCCCCCGGGTCGATTTCAGGGTGTGCGAGGAGAACAATTCTGTGCTGTACAGCATGAGAGTTTCTTGAAAGTAGATTTGTAAGGAGTTCGGCTTTCACATCTTGCTCAGTCCTGTGCTTAATTCTGAAGTTCCTGAAGCTTGCTGAATGTTTCGTACACGTTGGCGGCAAACTCTTTCACCTGGTCTATCAATAAGAGATCCTAAAAACAAGAAAGAGAGCAAACATTGGTGTGTGTGGGCAGCTTTTATGCCACATGCAAGTCAAAATGAGTCAATGCATATGAAGGTTCTCACTTGGACAAAATGACTGGGTATTTCGCTGCATATTGAATGTATCTGTCCGTTGATGATGGGAATGATTTTGGCTAGTGGGAGGCTTACATGTGATAGTCTGGAAGAAAAGCACGTGAAAAACAGGAATAATTTTTTTACATCACCAATATTGTTCGCAAACCCAAAATATATTGGCCTTAGGAAAGTGATAAAATGGCTTAAATGTTGCTTAATTGTCCAAATACTTTTTGGGGTCACTGTACGAACCTTCCTGAAAAAAATTAATTCATGTACACTGACCGGTCAGGTGTGCTGGAAGGGTTGGAGTCCCCCTGTGGGGGTCGGAAAAACTCTGACATGTTGTCTAGGAATCGGATAAAGCCTCGGCTCAAGCAAGTACAGAGTACAGTAGTGAAGTCTGGACTGAAAAAAAAAAAAAGTTGTAATGTAATTAGTACATATCTATGCTGAAGTGATCTCTATAAAACTACTGATTTCAACCAATTTAGTCTCCTCTTCTTTTTTTCATTCTATCATTAATGCTCTTTGAATCCAGAATTGTGTTTTTCATACAAAAGCTCATATAGTTATGGATTTCCTTTAAAAAGGAACTAAATGTGTTAAGGTGTTCAGATTTATTGTGATTAATTATTTTAAACTTTTAACAGTCCCAACTTTTTATTTCCAATTTTCTAAACTGTAGGTTTATATAGGTGCCTTGATTTCCCTCACCTTTCAAGCATATCTCTGGTTTCATTCAGCAGCTTTATTGTTGTGACATCATTCTCTGTGAGACCACAAGCCTAAAAAATATTATATAGAAATAAATAAAATAGATAGATAGAAACCAAGAAAATGTCAAACGTGATGTAATGTAATATAAATAAAATGTAATTTATTCTTATAAAATGTATAAAATTATATTCTTATAAAAGTCTTATTAAAATTCATGAAATATAATTGTATATTATTTTGTGAAAAATGTCATACTTTTTTTTTTTCAGGATTCTAGATGTATAGAAAGTATTATAGAAAGTTATTAACAACATTTATTTGATTACAGATTATAGATATAATCTATTGTAATATTAGATTTTAATGTCTTTACTGTCACTTTTGATCAATTTATTGTGTCCTTGCTGAATAATAAAAAAAAAAAGAAAACCTTTTTGGTAGTGTATCATGAATCTAAATATTATATATGTATACTTTATATTATACAAGTATACATGTATGCATATAATTGAAGCTATACATAAAATAAATTCTAAAATAAATTAATAAATTATATATCTAATTCAGAAATAAAAACAAATAAATGATATATATCTCTACCTGTGAGGCTAGTGTGTTCTCTTCATCAGGCATCATGTACCAAGAAAGACTTTTGTGTTTAGAGGAAGAACAGCCCTCCTCCACTAACTGTCTGATCTGAGTTAACTGTTGCTCCAACTCTTGTAGGGACAAACTCTGCTTCAGAGACACCCTGAGGAGACATGGACTTTCCTGCTAAATATACAGGAAGACTGGCACAACACAATAGCTGCAATGGCAAATAAAGCCACGAGAATGGGATGAGTAGATTAAAATTCATTCATCATCTAATCAATCACTCAACGTACGGTCCAAGAACTTCCTGGACAGCTTTCTTCACCACTGTTATCAGTTCAATGAGCCCTGAAAAGACAAAAAATGAAGATCAGTATCAACTACAGGGGAAATGATAAGGAAGAAAAATAATGACAAATGTCTTTGAAACAAAAAAGCATGTTGAATAGCTCTAACTGAATAAAGTAATGCATTGCATTAACAGTGCTTGCATTTTAAAGCCTTGTATTTTTAGGGGCTGAAATTCAGCATAGTTACTTATTTAAGCTGTGAATATTTCAATTCAAAACATTTCACACACATTTTCATAATTCAAAATTCAGTCATTAATTTTCACCTTCCAGAGTTCACTTGCCAGATATTCAGTCTGTTTAAAAATATGATGTATAATATTCGTTATGCGAAACGAGTACCAGTGAAGGTGCTGAATTAAATGTAAACACAGCTTCTGTGTCTTAAACAGCTTTTCATATACATACTGGCCCTGATAATCATATTTTCTACATACCGCTTGCTCCATTTCTGCAAATCAGTTTTTGTGAATGATGACTTGCTTTACCTGTTGCTTTGGTCTTCATCAACACCCGCTTGCACCACCTTCTGGTGAGCGACTAACAGCAGATGGAGATCATGCATCAGTCCTCTATTGCTATACCTGCAGTTCCCGGATGTACAATGCTGAATTTTCTGCCGAATTTGAACCACTGAATTTGTGAGAGCGAATTTGTAAAGTGAAATATTATTATACATCGTATTTTTAAACAGATTGAATATTTCGGAAGTGACTTCTGGAAGGCGAATATTGAAATGTGAAAATGTGTGTGAAATGTTTTGAATTGAAATATTCACAGCTTAAATAAACAACTATGTTAAATTTCAGCCCCTAAAATGCAAGCCCTGAAAATACAAGGCATAAAAAAATGCAAGCACTGTTAATGCAATGCATTCTTTTTTCAGTTAGTGCAATTCAACATGCTTTTTTGTTTCAAAGACATTTGTCATTATTTTTCTTCCATACAATGGGATTAAACTCTAATGCAGATTAAACGCTCTTATACAGATTTGACATTGTCCTCACCTTCTCCAAGAAGGTGCTGGATACTTGAAAGATATTGTTGTTGAACATCAGGAGGGGCCAAGGGGGTCTAAAGTAGCAGTATAAGAGAAATGAAGTAACATTTACATGCTGTAACATGGTAAAATCAGGTTGCTTTGCCTTTAAAACACCAAGCCTTGACATACCATTCCATTCTTTGTCACAGAGTTGTCCAGGTACAAGTAGCCACCAATTATGTTGAGCTGAACTCTGAGTAACACCACCAGCATGCAAGTGCTGTAAACCGCCACAATGCTTCGGGTAAAACCTAGAGAGTAGAAATCATTGTTTGAGAACAGGAATAGATGAGAGTTTGATTAAAGTCAACTTGAATTTCTGTTCATAACACATTTTACTTCCATAATGTGACATATAATTGTGAAACAGGACATTCGATTAAAAAAAGCAGGATGGGAATCAAGTGGGTGTTGCCTTAATAACTATTTGGTCATTGCTCAACATTTTCCAATAACCCACATGACATCAGCAGAAAAGAATATTTGTGTATTACATTTCACTTACATTAAAAAAACAAATACTGTTCAAAAGTTTGGGGTTGGTAAGGTTTTTTAATGTTTTTGAAAGAATACAGTATTAATTAAAACTGATTGTAAGTTCACAATAACACTAGGAATCTGCATTACGAAAGTAAATACCCTAGTAAGAAAATTTTGATTTCATGTTGACTTTAATGCAATGAATCCGTAATACTACACCAAAAAAAATAAAAAAATAAAAAAATTAAATTCTTCAACTCACTAATAATCTTTATATCCTCCCAGATTTCAAGTTTATTAGCTGGCCTGTGTAGGAAGACATGATCACTTATGTCAGTTATGTTTATTTATTTTGTAATGTAGATAATCATCTATAATGTACACGAATGACTCACTTAGTCTTCAGCAAAGCGGTGAGGCTCTCTGAGTTCAGGTGATGTATGATTGCCTCTCGGAGAGTGGGGAGCATTGATAACACTACAAAAAAGACACAATTACCTACACTGGGCAGGACAAACATTACTTTCATGACATTTATTAATTGATCATATCATTCTGTTTTATTTTTTACCCGTCATGTTACATGTCCTCTGGTTGCTTTCAAAATGAAACTGTCTCCGAGCTTGAGCAATGTATTCAGCTGCCTCTCGCTCCTGCATCTCCTGAATTTTTCTTTGTGCATATTTACCAAGTAGATAGACACCTGGGCATGAAGTTTGAGAAAACATTACAATATAATATACATCTTAAGAAACTGACATGCAATGTCAGATATATTCAGTGATATAAAATATGTATGCTGGCTAAAAATACCAGGGTAAAGTCCATATCAACTTTCTTTGACTGTGCCAGTGTAGAAAAACTAGGTGACAGGTTAACTGAGATTGATTAGGTGGATGTGGAAATAAGATTTAATGCTTGGCAACACTGTAATAACACGCTAAACTATATATTATAGCATATTAACATATTATAACTATATGTAATTTTTATTCAGCTATTAAAACAAGAAAGAGTTTACACACGTAGCTAACAATCTCTGAACTATACGCATGCAGGTGGTCAAATCAACTTTCTTTGACTGTGCCAGTGTAGAAAAACTAGGTGACAGGTTAACTGAGATTGATTAGGTGGATGTGGAAATAAGATTTAATGCTTGGCAACACTGTAATAACACGCTAAACTATATATTATAGCATATTAACATATTATAACTATATGTATTTTTATTCAGCTATTAAAACAAGAAAGAGTTTACACACGTAGCTAACAATCTCTGAACTATACGCATGCAAGTGGTCAAGTTGCCCATGTTACCTCCAACAAAAACCCCAGTGAAGATGAATTTCCTCTTATGGCGTTTGATGAAATTCCATGTAGAACTCAACATTTTAAAAACAGACTTTACACCGCAAAAAAACGACAAAACTAAATGCAAAAGCGTGTTAGACGTAACTCACTAGCTAGCATTATGCTACATGGCAATAACTTCAGCTGTTAGCAGCAAACAGGCGATCTACAGATAACAGATAGCGTCGATCGATCGATTATGCGGTCGTTCCACCGCCCTGAACGGTATATCCATTATTACGGTCCCCCGTAAACTCGTGTGCATGTAAGCCAAACGCTACTATTTCCTGATTCGTGCTGCTTTATTGAACGTATACGATTATAGATTTGTTAAGGATACTGATGGAGATGCAAGCAGATAGTGTTGAACCCGAGAAAAGTGTTTTTTCTGGAGCCGTTAGATAGTGAGATACAAACTGGATGTCAATCGATCGATTATGCGGTCGTTCCACCGCCCTGAACGGTATATCCATTATTACGGTCCCCCGTAAACTCGTGTGCATGTAAGCCAAACGCTACTATTTCCTGATTCGTGCTGCTTTATTGAACGTATACGATTATAGATTTGTTAAGGATACTGATGGAGATGCAAGCAGATAGTGTTGAACCCGAGAAGAGTGTTTTTCTGGAGCCGTTAGATAGTGAGATACAAACATGGATGTCAAAAGCGTTTGACATGGTAAATTTCTCTGATATTTATTGTTTGTCTTAACAGTATTTACCATGGTAACTGCCATGTCCCCTTAAATACAGTAGTTACTGCAGTGCTGCATTATTATTATTATTTTTTACTGTGAAATCTCAATGAAATAACATGACATTGCCTTTGAAACAGTCGAAAATCTGAGTATGCATGTATTTGTTTATATCTAATTTCTTGTGAAAAAATTCCACAGTTTTTTTTTGTAATAACAACTAGTGCTATTTTGGTTGTCATGGTAAATGTGTATGGTGTGTGCCTACATGGTAAATGTATTTTGGGTGGTTTTGAGAACATTTTAAACATATGAATTACTTTTAAAGGCACTTGAGGCCCTTGAGAATGGCGAGGTTCCAGTTGGCTGTCTGATGGTTTACAACAATGAGATTATTGGAAAAGGAAGAAATGAGGTGAATGAAACAAAAAATGTAAGTAGCTTCACAATGTGCCTAACTATTGATCATTTAAATAAATATAATGATTCCATTTATTGTTGTTATTGGAATTAAGTAGAAGCCAACATCAATACTTATTATAATGTAATTGACTATAACCCTATGCTTCAGTATATGTATTCAAAACGTATTAAATGCGTAACAGTAATATGCTGTTTCAAATCTGTTAAGTTATTCAGAAATACATAAACAATATGGTTCTTGCAGACTTTTTGTGTGGCTTAAATTCAAAATGTGTGGGTGGAGTAACTGTTTAGAGATCGTCAAAAATAAAAGTCTCATTACAAGGCTTTTTTTTTCTCTTGGAAGTGATTCATAATCAAATCATGATTAAGATGTGTACACACTTAAGGTGAGAGGAAAATATTTATGCTTTACTTTAGTGGTTGCGTAATGTAAATTTCTAAGAACTGGTGATGCATTATGAACTAGTTATTAAAATAATTTCTCATTTTAATAATCTCAGACATCCTTATTTGCCATTGACCTATATATTACAGTTTCTGTTATGCTAAGACTTTGATTAATGGTTTTTCCTAGTAGAACACAGAGAAACTTTGGAATAGATGAAACAACCTCACGCCTGTGCCTGCTTTGCCCAAGGCTACTCGGCATGCAGAAATGGTGGCACTGGATCAAGTGCTTGATTGGTGCCGTTTCAGAGAGAAGGACCCAATAGAGGTGTGTGAACAGACTGTACTCTATGTGACAGTGGAGCCATGTATCATGTGTGCAGCTGCTCTGCGCCTGCTTCGTATCCTTGATGCCAAAATGTGGTTCACCATTAGCTTAGAAAAGTTTCCACATACAGTACCATTAATGGTTTTGAAAAAAGCCTGTTATATCCACAAAGGCTGAATTTATTTGATCAAAAATACAGTAATATTGTGAAATTTAAAATAATCCCCCCCCCCCCCCCCAATTTTTAATATTTTCATTTTCGGTATATTTTATTTTTACCATTTCAAATTGATTTTTACCATTGAATTTCACATTTAGGGTTAGGGTTGAATTTTCTTGGCCATTACTCAAGTCTTCAGTGTCACATGATCCTTCAGAAATCATGCTAATATGCTGATTTGGTGCTCAAGAAACATTTATTGTTATTATTATTATTATTATAATCAATGTTAAAAACAGTTGTGCTGCCTAATATTTTTATATATAAAAATAAGAACCCCCCCCCCAGAATTCTTTAAAATGAATAGAAAGTTAAAAAACAGCATTTATTTTAAATAGAAATATTCTCTAACATTATAAAGTCTTTACAGTCACTTTTGATCAATTTGATGCATCGATGAATAAAAGTATTAATTTCTTAATACTTGACAGATACCAAACATTTGAGCAGTATTGTAGATCTTTGTGTCAATCACAGCACTTCGTAGTCAAAAAAATTTGTTTTTCTTGCGAATAGTACATTTTTAAAGCATTATTGCATTTACCCCAGGTTGTTATTGTCTGGAGTTTAAAAAAAATCTCAGCGCTAAAAGGACACCTTAACATTTAGACAGACATACCTCTTGTTGTATATGGGTGCAAAAATGAGCGGTTTGGAGGCTGTGGATCCGTCCTGGACGTCTCATCAGATCATTTACCACACACTGGAACTTCATTTAAGGTAAAAGAATTTCCCTCCAGTTCCTATCCAGTTCAATTTAAATTCCAGCTCATAGACATTCTGAACCGTTCTATGTGGCTAGAATATTTTTCTTGTAGAAACATCCACATTCCCTAAATTGTAGTCCAGACCACATTGCATATTTTTGCTGTAGCTTATTACAGTGCATCGCTGGCTATAGAGCGGAAGAGGCTGTTGAAATGCTCGAGACTTTTTATAAACAGGAAAACCCAAATGGTAAGGGAGATCTGTTAATGTATGCATGTGTTAATGTTTTCATTGTCCTGTTTCTGAAACTGATGTTTTTTTCTCCCTTTTGTTAGCTCCCAAACCTAAAGTGAGGAAAGATTTGATCAGTCCACCAGATAGCGCTGTAGTCATTCAGGTAAAACCAGGATCACAAAATGAGGGGAGAGAAACAATTGCTTCTTTGAGCTGAAATGGAAAATATTTGAACATTCAGACATTTGTCAGTGCCTGGATCTCAGTGACTTTTGATTTGACCATCTTTTTGAGATCATTGATTTAATCTACTATTTGAGGAACCACATTTGCTCATTATCTGGATCACATTGCTTGTAAACGTCCAGGCCTCCTCTTCTCTGTGGCTCTCACGCTGTGAGTTGTCTGTTAACAGTGTGTAGAAGCAAAGGACTGGGCCTGTTCTGCATTAAAGCGCAGGTTCTTCTCCAGCTCTTGCTCTCTTTGTGTCCTTATACAACCCAGAGAACTGGTTCTGAACTCTCAATGATCTCAGTCTTGGGCTCACTAGCAGATGCAGGACAGCCCCAGGTGGAGTTTCCACTTACTTCATAGCCATAAACTTAAAAGGGATAATTAAAAATTAATTTGTGTCATTACGTTCTCACTCTACTTGTTTTTTATTTTCTTTAATGGAGCACAAAAGGTGAATTTTATAACAAGTTCTTCAAAAATATATATCCCATTTTTTTAGACAATTAAAGTGAATGAACATGGAAGCTGACCATCTTTATAATAGCAAAAAAAAAAAA